ATATATATAAATTATATTCAATATTATATATAAACTATATTCAAATTTTTATATATATATAATTATATTCAACATTATATATAAACTATATTCAAATTTATATAAATTACATTCAATATTATATATAAACTATATTCAATATTATATGTAAACTATATTCAAATTTATATATATATTATATTCAGTATTATATATAAACTAAATTCAAATTTGAAATTTTTGTAAAAGTGATGTTTTCTCTTTGCTTTTATAACAAATTCAACACTTTAATTTAACACTGTATTTAAATAGTTGTGTAATTTTATCATTCTAAGAATGTCTAATTGCATCTAAGAAATTGCAGAATAGTTACAAAAACAGAAGAAGAAATAGGAGAAATATTGATAATAAAAATTCTTAGAATGTGCAAATATTTTAGAAGAAATAGATTTTTAATAGCAAAAAATACCTTTACGAAATAAATACCTCATATTTCCACGTTTTATTATTTAAGATATTCGATAAATTAAAGTGTAAACAAGAAAGAAAATTTTTAGTTTTCTACACTTCTCAATAAAAATCCTTTTTTGTAATGATATTATGTTTATAAGTCGTCAGACATTTTGTTTGTTGGAACATAAAAATTAAGATACAAAATATCATTTTCTGAGTCGACTTTATTATCTCATTTTCTTGCATTTGGTCATTTTAAAAATTACTAATTTAATATAAACTTTATAACGCCAATATGAAATTAAAATAAACATGCAATAAACAAAATTGCACGAGGAAACAAATTTCAAAGATAAACGTGCTCAAAATTGAAGGATTATTACAGAAAAGTTGGATGGTATTAATGAAAAAAATTCAGAAAAATAATTTTCATTGGAATTCTATTAATTCGTACGATCGTGGTAAATAGAAAATTTTGAATTGTTAAATTGTAGCAAAATTGCAAATTTCGAAGATAAACGTGCTCAAAATTGAAGGATTCGTGAACAATATTATAGAAAAATTGGCTGCTATTAACGAAAAAAATTCAGAAAAATAATTTTCAATGGAATTCTATTAATTCGAAGGATCTTCGTAAATGGAAAATTTTGAATTGTTAGTTAACATTTTAGTAAATTCATGAAGTACAATATGAGTTACGTTTCCTTTATAATAGAATGAATAAATGTGTTGCTTTCCCATGCTCGCCGCCAGAGGGCTCGCGCTCTCACAAGCGCTCGACTGACACCTTGCTATATAATAATTCAAAAACCATCCCCCATTTTTGCAGAGGAAATTGTTGTTCAGAATCGTCTCAGCTACCCCCCATTTCCGGTTCTTACACTATTTACGGGACACCCTTTATATTATATTAGATCGTTCCATAAATTCGTACTGTTCGATATTCCGAAATTGACGAAGATAAAATTAGCAATTTAATAGAAAACAAAGAAAATTCGTCCACAAATGTTAGTTTCGTATCATAATTTACTTCAATGTTGATCCATTTTTATTGTACGTTCGTTAAGTGTTTGGTGACTTATGAATGGAGAAGTGTGTAAGTTTCGAATCATGGTCCTATCTATCATTGTCATACGAGATGACTCAAATCCTCCATCGAACAATCATGACTCTTCAGATCATCCACGATGTTGACCCTGAAGAACAAGGTAGCCAAGTGGTGTAGTGACTTGTCAGGACTCTGTTTGTCCAGGTAACAAAGTCTCTAGGAAAAGATTAGTTTGCAAACCATGATTTCGACCTGCTCCTACAAAAGTATCTATCGAACTCTATTTTATTGGCTTTGTCTAGTAATTGCTTCCTGTCTCTTTGCTTATAAGTGAGGTGTCCTGTAATTTGACCCATCAAATTCGTAAATTCGAACTTTGGAGTCCAACTACCAAGAGGACCACTTTGTTCCGAGTCTTCTGGGAGCTAGAAACAGGTCGCTGAGCGTCAGGTCGTCGGTCCAGAGGCTCTTCTTGCAGGAGTGCTGGTCGAGCAGCGCGATACCGCGGCGGTACGTCGGTAATTAGGAACTCCCCTCTGGCAAAAGGGTGGTGGACATTCGAATTCATTCGGGGTCGGAGCGCTCCTCCGGGGGTTAGCCCGACAGCCCCTTTAGCGGAAAACTGTCTGAACATGACGTAACGCTCCTGAAAGCCCGGATAGGAGCGGTTTCGAGCTGGTTTTTGCGCTGTACGGCCAGCAACAATGGCTGCTTCTTACCAGCGTCCTGGTCATCGTATATTATTAATTACTGTATTAATCTCGCCGGCCGTAAGCAATCTATTATACATGGGATAAGAGCCACTGAGCTAGCCTGGCGTCGTCGTCAAAATGCCTGGCCAAAAGCCCTGCTACCACATTGGTGACTTTGTAACTTCGACGTACGATATAATCTGACCCTTGCGGGTGTTAACGAAGGATAGATTCGAAAAGGGTGTTAAAGGAATCTTGAAATTGGCTAATGGGCTCGATGCATTCACGTGGGGGCGTCTGGGTTAGGTGCACAGGGTCTCCAGCAGTGGACTAAAGCCCAAGAAACTGAAGTCTACGTTTTATATATTCTTAAAAATTATTATAATTGACCCCTGCAATGGGAAAAGATTTTTCCAGAACGATTCGAAAGTTTTCAATTTTGTCAAAATCGATTTACTGAATTTTTTTTCTCGGAAATGGTGAGGATTTCGGGGGTATGTCAAATAACCAAAAATGCTTGTAATTGACCTTTCTAACTAAATATAATTTTTCCAGAACGATTTGAAATTTTTTAATTTTGTCGAAAAATTTCACATATTCTCGAATTTTTTTCTCGAAAATGGATAGGATTTCGAGGGTATGTCAAATAACCAAAAATGCTTGTAATTGACCTTTCTAACTAAATATAATTTTTCCAGAACGATTTGAAATTTTTTAATTTTGTCGAAAAATTTCACGTATTCTCGAATTTTTTTCTCGAAAATGGATAGGATTTCGAGGGTATGTCAAATAACCAAAAATGCTTGTAATTGACCTTTCTAACTAAATATAATTTTTCCAGAACGATTTGAAATTTTTTAATTTTGTCGAAAAATTTCACATATTCTCGAATTTTTTTCTCGAAAATGGATAGGATTTCGAGGGTATGTCAAATAACCAAAAATGCTTGTAATTGACCTTTCTAACTAAATATAATTTTTCCAGAACGATTTGAAATTTTTTAATTTTGTCGAAAAATTTCACATATTCTCGAATTTTTTTCTCGAAAGTGGATAGGATTTCGAGGGTATGTCTATTCACCAAAAATGATTGTAATTAGCTCTCCTAGCTAAGAATATTTTTTTCAGAACGATTTGAAATTTTTGAATTTTGTCGAAAAATTTGTCGACTTACCGAATTTTTTTCTCGAAAATGCCTAGGATTTCGGGGGTACGTGTAATAGCCAAAATTAATTGCAATCGAGCCCTGCAACCGAAAACAATTTTTTTAGAATGATTTGAAAGATCTCAATTTTGTCAAAAAAATTGTCGACTTATTGAATTTTTTTCTCGAAAATGGTTAGGATTTTTGGGGTACGTGTAATAGCCAAAATTAGTTGCAATCGAGCCCTGCAACCGAAAATAATTTTTTTGGAATGATTTGAAAGATCTCAATTTTGTCAAAAAAATTGTCGACTTATTGAATTTTTTTCTCGAAAATGGTTAGGATTTTTGGGGTACGTGTAATAGCCAAAATTAGTTGCAATCGAGCCCTGCAACCGACAGTAATTTTTTTAGAATGATTTGAAAGATCTCAATTTTGTCTCAACTTTTAATTTTTCTTTGTTTTCGTATTTTTCCAGGTCTCTGTGCGGCATGTATGTTGGCAAGAGTGGAGCAAGAACGTCTGGAGAGTCTAAAGTACGAGAGAGCGACGATCTACGTAAAGTGCGTGGAAGAGAACGAGGATCCAAAGACGGAAAGCGACTTGGAGGTCAGTGATACAAAAGTCCGCCATTTTGAGATCGACAAGGGCGTTTTGTTAATGGGCCACAGCGTGCCTAGTCACCGACTGTCCTGGAACCGGTCGAACGATTCAGATTGATGCAGGCCGATAAGGAGATTGGCCCAATCTCATTCATTTCTTAATAATCGTCATTACGTTTCCACGGGTCGATCCTTGAGGCCACCTGCTCCCCTCCCTTCCTCTTCGAATTAGTCTCCTTTGGTTCACAGCGACTGGAACTCGCTATAAATTACACGAGCATAATAACAACGATCTTACGGAAGTGGATAAATGTTAAACTCTTCTAAAATATTAGTTACGCGTCGTAAATGGAACAATAATGGAAAAAATGGATAAAAATCCTGTTAAAAATAAACACTAACGTACGGTCTGTTGCAAAAATTTTATTTTATCGATATAATACACCTCTTTTCCTTTTTATAATATGGTAGCACAGCGTGGTTACGATCCACGGACCTCTGCAGTCATTACCAGTGGCGCCACCTTCGTACGCGTTGCTATATATGTATTCTAACAAATCCTATGTTTAAAAAGAAATTAAATACATTAAAAACATTCGATTTATTCGATCGCTAACACGTTGACCGTCTAAGATCCTAAAATTGCTTAGAAGACCAAAAACTTCAAGTTTAGTCAATTGTAAACTACACAATTTAAAAGTTGTTCTAGCAGTTACGTGTCTAACCTCATTAAAATTTACGAAGCCTATTAAAATTTCGTTTCTTTAACATTTTAATTTGAGAATAAATTGTTCTAGTTCCACTGTTGAGAGTTCCTGTGACCCATATATGGGTCACGTGGCTCCTAACCTCATTAGAATGTATTTTCTTTGGCATTTTAATTTGAGAATTCATTATTACAGCTCCATTGATAAAAGTTCCGTGACCCATACATGGGTCACGTGGCAATGAAAGTGTTAATGGATTCAATTTGAACAGAAAAAAATTAACAAAAATTCTGTTTTGGGCCAATGAGATTTCTGAGAAAATTTTTCTTAATAATTTAGTAGTTTGTTTATTCTGTTATTGAGACAATTTTTTCGTTTGGTTATAATTTGTAATCGAAAGAAATGAAATATTAAATAATTAAAAATAGTTGAAGATCGATGGATGTGAGTTTGAACGTTTGTTTACTGTGTTTATTTGTTTTTTACAGCAAGTGGCTGCGAAGAGAGCCAAGATAGAGAACGTGAGGCCGTCGAGGACTCGGAGGAACTTGAAGGGATCTCACGAGCTCAAAGTTTCGTCAGAGATCACGTTGAAGGAGCTCAAATTAATGGTGAGTGCAGAATATTTGAAAATTCATTCACTTTTTGTTCCACAAACGCCTCGATTACTCGATCTCTATCAAAATTTACAATTTTTTTTGCATTTTGACTTCGACTTCTCACACGTAGCAATGTATTTTTACAAGTTTGTGCTTCCTGGACGAAATTATTTAAAAGATTCTTTTTATCTACAATTTCGTATAATTGTGAGTCTCAGAAAGAAGTTTATTTTGCACTGCAATATGGCAAACGATAGAGAGTATACTAAAAATTCGTTGAAAATTACATTCTTTCCCCCTTTTCCATGAATTTTTCACTCCTTGATTTAATTTTACTTAAATTTTATTCCGTGAAGTTTTCACTTGTTAGATTGTTGGATGCATATATATATAACGGTTTAATAATAATGAACAATACAGAAGTGATACATGTTGGTGCACGCAACAACGCACGACGACCACACGACAATCTCGGTGGAAAGCGACGCAACGCGCATGCGCGTGTTCTCGCGCACACTCCTCTGCGCATTCTCACAGGCGCACGCTACCCGGGATGTGTGACAAACTTCCATCATCACTCTGTGATTTAATTTGACTTAAATTCTATTTAAATTCATTTAATTCCTCGAGATTTAATTTGACTTAAATTTTATTCGTGAAGTTTTCACTCTGTGATTTAATTTGACTTAAATTTGATTCAAATTCATTTAATTCCTCGAGATTTTAGGTTATTTCCAGTAATTTCAAGATGGAGAAAGGTTTGTAATTTCCCCCCTAGAATGACTCCCCCAATTTTTCAGAATTCCATATTATTAAGAATAGAATTTATTAAGAGATTTAGTAAACATTCACCAGAACTATTTTCTCTGTTGTGTAAACAACTGTTCCAACGCGAACCATAATCCTCCATCGTATTAAATAACAGAAAGGGTTAGCGTACAGCGATCGTAGTTGCTGACAATGACAGTGATCCCGTAGCAATTGAAGGAGATTACAGCAGCCCAGCGATGAAGAAGGAACCGTTTTACGACGTCTAACCGTTTTCGAAGTGGACAAAGAGAGAGAGAAAGAGAGAGAGATGTTTCCAAAGTCAGAGACTCCTTCGTTCGTCGGAGCCGAAAGTAGTAAAGCCGTAGTTATGGCTGGTTAGCATATGCCTGGGCCCCAGTGTGCTTAAACTATTAAGCGTATTTATATTGCGAGGCTGTGGTCATCTCCTTCTCCCATCGTCTCCGGGGCCATCGGCAAAAACTCGAAAGAGCATAAACCTCGCGCTAATAACAGGCCTCGCGACTTCTCCACTCCACTTCACTCCACTTCCTTCGACTCTGGATCTTCTATACCCATGGCTATTCAATCCTTCCTCTCTCTTTCGCTCTCTTTCGCTCTCTGGGCTGTAAATTTTCGCGTTGTTTATTCGTGAAATTTGAAAATTCACTAGAAAGTCCCTAGAAAGTCCCTAGAAAGTTTCAGCCATTTTGAAGACTATATTCACGTATGTACTGTGATGGATTTACAATCATACAATTGGGTATTTGTGATATTAACATATTAGTTCTTTTTATATCAAAATATTCTCGACCATCGACAAACTTGATTGACTTAGAATTCTGTGACTGTGACTTAGAATTCCTTTTCTATTTAAAGATCACGCGAACTATTCTAAATTTATTTTTTTTAAATCAAGGCGATAGAAAAGTCGAGCTAAATTTGAAAATTCACTAGAAAGCCCCTAGAAAGTTCCTAGAAAGTTCCTAGAAAGTTTCAGCCGTTTTCAAGACTATATTCACGTATATACTGTGATGGATTTACAATCATACAATTGGGTATTTGTGATATTAACATATTAGTTCTTTTTATATCAAAATATTCTCGACCATCGACAAACTTGATTGACTTAGAATTCTGTGACTGTGACTTAGAATTCCTTTTCTATTTAATGATCACGCGAACTATTCTAAATTTATTATTTTAAAATCAAAATTGAAAAATAAAATCAAGGGGATACAAAAGTCGAGCTAAATTTGAAAAGTCACTAGAAAGTTCCTAGAAAATTCCTAGAAAGTCCCTAGAAAATTCATAGAAAGTTCCTAGAAAGTTTCAGCCGTTTTTTCAGACTATATTCACGTATATATTGTGAAGAATCTACAATCATACAATTGGATATTTGTGATATTAATATATTAGTTCCTTTTATATCGAAATATTCTCGACCATCGACAAACTTGATTGACTTAACTCGGAAGAAATCGATCGACAAGAGATCCTCGATCTTAGGGCCGGAAAAAAGCACCCGGGATCGGTGACACGGAATGTGGTAGAAAGTAATATTTACAGGCGACAATCGTCGTTACACCGATTACGTAAAACGATCGTACTATCGTCGATTTGCTCAGCTTGCTCGCGACTTGTCGCGCACTCGACCATGAAACTCGAGCATTTTTGCCGTCTGGTAAAAACCGACTCTCATTTTTGTCAAATGCTGGCTGATCCGTGAACGAAACAGCACCCTTCGGTCCGTGGATACTTTCCAACCGTAATGGTTGGCCTAATCATTTGTTTAAGGCCTGATTCCCACTAACAATCGACTCACTTTTCGATAGAATTCGCCTGAAAATACAGAAACTCAGGAAACTGTTCAATTGTTCACCACTGAAAATTTAAACAATAAAAATGGGGACGTTGAAATTAAGAACGTATTAGCTAGTCCAGTACGAAAGTACATGTATCGCGAGTCTAATTTTACTATTTGCTTAGCCTAAATTTCCTTGCAATATCACTTTTTTCCCCCCATAAATGATATTCATTAAAGATACTACTGGTAAGCACTCTAATATTAATATTTGCAATTTTAAATATGGAATCGAACATCAAATTGACGGTGTCTTGTAAATCTAGTGTTAATACATAAGGTCTCTTTGCAATTGTTAACACATTACCGACCGATAGCGTATTAATCGACTGTTTTACCGACCAACGCTTACCGGCTGGGAGCCTATCAATCAACTGTTTTACCGACCAACGCTTACCGACCGATAAAACAGTCGATTAATAGGCTATCGGTCGGTAAGCGTTGGCCGGTAAAACAGTCGATTAATAGGCTATCGGTCGGTAAAGTGTTAAGTGTTCGACTCGAGACTAGAATCGAGCATTTTTCCAATCCAAGATTCTTTAATATCGACATCTTGATTTTTTTTTAAGTTCGAAATTCCCTTTCTCATTGTATCTTTAACCTTATTTCTCGATGTTAATTCAGACCTAATCCAGACCTAACCCATACCTAATTCAGACCTAATCCAGACCTAACCCATACCTAATTCAGACCTAATCCAGACCTAACCCAGACCTAACTCAGATCTAATCCAGACCTAACCCAGACCTAACCCAAATCAAACCCAGACCTAACCCAGACCTAACCCAGACCCTAGATCTAGGTTAGGTCTGGGTTAGGTCTGGATTAGATCTGAGTTAGATCTGAGTTAGGTCTGGGTTAGGTCTGGATTAGATCTGAGTTAGGTCTGGGTTAGGTCTGGATTAGATCTGAGTTAGGTCTGGGTTAGGTCTGGATTAGATCTGAGTTTGATCTGAGTTAGGTCTGGGTTAGGTCTGGATTAGATCTGAGTTAGGTCTGGGTTAGGTCTGGATTAGATCTGAGTTAGGTCTGGGTTAGGTCTGGATTAGATCTGAGTTAGGTCTGGGTTAGGTCTGGATTAGATCTGGGTTAGGTCTGGGTTAGGTCTGGGTTAGGTCTGGATTAGATCTGAATTAGATCTGGGTTAGGTCTGGTTTAGGTCTGGTTTTTACCGACCAATGCTTACCGACCGATAAAACAGTCGATTAATAGGCTATCGGTCGGTAAGCGTTGGCCGGTAAAACAGTCGATTAATACGCTATCGGTCGGTAAAGTGTTAAGTGTTCGACTCGAGACTAGAATCGAGCATTTTTCCAATCCAAGATTCTTTAATATCGACATCTTGATTTTTTTTTAAGTTCGAAATTCCCTTTCTCATTGTATCTTTAACCTTATTTCTCGATGTTAATTCAGACCTAATCCAGACCTAACCCATACCTAATTCAGACCTAATCCAGACCTAACCCAGACCTAACTCAGACCTAATCCAGACCTAACCCAGACCTAACTCAGATCTAATCCAGACCTAACCCAGACCTAACCCAAATCAAACCCAGACCTAACCCAGACCTAACCCAGACCCTAGATCTGGGTTAGGTCTGGGTTAGGTCTGGATTAGATCTGAGTTAGGTCTGGGTTAGGTCTGGGTTAGGTCTGGATTAGATCTGAGTTAGGTCTGGGTTAGGTCTGGATTAGATCTGAGTTAGGTCTGGGTTAGGTCTGGGTTAGGTCTGGATTAGATCTGAGTTAGGTCTGGGTTAGGTCTGGATTAGATCTGAGTTAGGTCTGGGTTAGGTCTGGGTTAGGTCTGGATTAGATCTGAGTTAGGTCTGGGTTAGGTCTGGATTAGATCTGAGTTAGGTCTGGGTTAGGTCTGGGTTAGGTCTGGATTAGATCTGGGTTAGGTCTGGGTTAGGTCTGGGTTAGGTCTGGATTAGATCTGAATTAGATCTGGGTTAGGTCTGGTTTAGGTCTGGTTTTTACCGACCAACGCTTAACGACCGATAAAACAGTCGATTAATAGGCTATCGGTCGGTAAGCGTTGGCCGGTAAAACAGTCGATTAATAGGCTATCGGTCGGTAAAGTGTTAAGTGTTCGACTCGAGACTAGAATGGAGCATTTTTCCAATCCAAGATTCTTTAATATCGACATCTTGATTTTGTTTTAAGTTCGAAATCCCTTTCTCAGTGTATCTTTAACCTTATTTCTCGATGTTAACGATAAAATTCTAGGACATTGCAGCCCTTCTTCCCGTAACCTTATTACAACTCACCTCTATTTATGATTCTTTAACACCGACATCTTGATTTTGTTTTAAGTTCGAAATCCCTTTCTCAGTGTATCTTTAACCTTATTTCTCGATGTTAACGATAAAATTCTAGGACATTGCAGCCCTTCTTCCGTAACCTTATTACAACTCACCTCTATTTATCCCTCTGGTTGAGCACCCTCCTCGAACAGAAGAGTTAACGAGGAATAATCGGTTTCTTGTTCTGATCATTTCTCTCCTTGCCTTTTGTTATGTTCTTTGCCCGATAAACTCTGGTATTATCCCATAAGCCTCGTCACTCTGTCCTCAGCAAAGAATCTTCGAAGTCTTTGGATCTTAAAATCGAAAATTCTGACGAAACTTAGTCAAAGAAATTGGCAAACGTTCGATTCGATTCGTTCGTAGTCGATTTTCGAGATTTAGAGATCCAAGATCGTTTGATCCAGCTTCAGAGGACCAACCGGATACTCTTTTCATGGAAATAGGCACGTCGGAACGAATTTCTGGAATTCGGTTTAAAATCAATTTCACGGATCACTCTCCTGCTGCGTCACCATTGGGTAATTAGCCCACCTTGGTTCCAAATTTCGACAAAAAATTCCTGGGTTAAGAGAATCGTTGATAGAGAGATATCGTGAGAGTTTATGTGTAAAAAATTCATTCTAAGCAGTGTTTTTTAGACGAAATATTACGAAATATTGGCATGAAATGGAATGGACGATACAGATATTCTATTACATACTCAATTATGTAACTAAATATTCTTGGATAGCTTTCATCATCATCGAAATGGAAAATTGCTGTTTAATTTGAAAAAATTGACATTTTATTTCTTAATATAAGAATTTTAAATTGTGTTTTTTTCATTGTCACTCAATATTTTGTTAAAATTGCTGTTTATTTTGAAAGAATTGACATTTTATTTCTTAATATAAGAATTTTAAATTGTTTTTTTTCAGTCACTTGATATTGTATTAAAATTGCAGTACTTTTAACTTAAGTCTACAGTGGGCTCTCTAAAGCAACAAATTCCGTGAACGTATAAAATTCCGGAACTCCGTGTTCTTCCTTCGGCCCAGGCATTGAACTCCAAAGCATGGTCGCGTAGAGTGAGAGAGAGAGAGGAAAGGGAAGAAAAGGACCCTCGAAGTCGGAATCGAGGAGCATGCGTCCGGGTAATTGCTTAATTTGTGGAAGCCTCGAGAACGGTTTCGCGTTGCCCTTCGTCCGGTTCCTCGTCCAGGAGACGGTGTAAACGCGCAAGTTTCTGTTTTACGAGCGAGAGCAACCGTCGGGAAAAAGAGCCACGGACTGGGAGGACCGTGCACACACGGAGTACCCTGGTTATACCCTGCCCGACGTAAACCGAGTTAAACTGTCGGCAGAAGGATCTTTTCACCTTTTTTTTTCTTTCTGCCCCCCCTCCTGCAAACCTAGGAAAGGACCATTTGGTGAATAATCTCGAAGACACGGGGTTCCTTTGATAGATAAAGTATCATTTTTGTATAGGGTGTTTCACCATTTTTCTGTGAACACTTCAGCAGTGTGTTCTACAATTAAAAATAAGAGGAAAGTGTAATGTAATGTAAGATCCATAAATGCTTTGTTAACCCTTTGCAGTCCTATGTGTCGAGTGTGACTTCAATTTTTATCTCAGGAGCTACTTCGTCAAGTCCCATTCGGCGTTTTTTCAAGTCCAAATCATATCATGCACTTGGAAATTACAAAATACAACAGTGTAAAAGAGACCTAACCCAGACCTAACCCAGATCTAATTCAGATCTAATCCAGACCTAACCCAGATCTAACTCAGATCTAATCCAGACCTAACCCAGATCTAATCCAGACCTAACCCAGACCTAACTCAGATCTAATCCAGACCTAACCCAGACCTAACTCAGATCTAATCCAGACCTAACCCATACCTAATTCAGTCCTAATACAGACCTAACCCAGACCTAACTCAGATCTAATCCAGACCTAACCCAGATCTAACTCAAATCTAATCCAGACCTAACCCAGATCTAGGGTCTGGGTTAGGTCTGGATTAGATCTGAGTTAGATCTGGGTTAGGTCTGGGTTAGGTCTGGATTAGATCTGAGTTAGATCTGAGTTAGGTCTGGGTTAGGTCTGGATTAGATCTGAGTTAGGTCTGGGTTAGGTCTGGGTTAGGTCTGGATTAGATCTGGGTTAGGTCTGGATTAGATCTGAGTTAAATCTGAGTTAGATCTGGGTTAGGTCTGGATTAGATCTGAGTTAGATCTGGGTTAGGTCTGGATTAGATCTGAGTTAGGTCTGGGTTAGGTCTGGGTTAGATCTGGGTTAGGTCTGGGTTAGGTCTGGATTAGTTAATAATCCAAATTATATTAACCCTTTGCACTCCTATGTCGAGTGTGACTTGACATCAATTTTTATCTCTGGAGCTACTTCGTCAAGTCCCATTCGACATTTTTTCAAGTCCAAACCAAATCATACACTTGGAAATTACAAAATACAACAACAGTGTAAATGAGACCTAACCCAGATCTAATCCAGACGTAACCCAGACCTAACTCAGATCTAATCCAGACCTAACCCAGACCTAACTCAGATCTAATCCAGACCTAACCCAGACCTAACTCAGATCTAATCCAGACCTAACCCATACCTAATTCAGTCCTAATCCAGACCTAACCCAGACCTAACTCAGATCTAATCCAGACCTAACCCAGACCTAACTCAGATCTAATCCAGACCTAACCCAGACCTAACTCAGATCTAATCCAGACCTAACCCATACCTAATTCAGTCCTAATCCAGACCTAACCCAGACCTAACTCAGATCTAATCCAGACCTAACCCAGATCTAACTCAAATCTAATCCAGACCTAACCCAGATCTAGGGTCTGGGTTAGGTCTGGATTAGATCTGAGTTAGATCTGGGTTAGGTCTGGGTTAGGTCTGGATTAGATCTGAGTTAAATCTGAGTTAGATCTGGGTTAGGTCTGGATTAGATCTGAGTTAGATCTGGGTTAGGTCTGGATTAGATCTGAGTTAGGTCTGGGTTAGGTCTGGGTTAGATCTGAGTTAGATCTGGGTTAGGTCTGGGTTAGGTCTGGATTAGTTAATAATTCAAATTATCTTAACCCTTTGCACTCCTATGTCGAGTGTGACTTGACATCAATTTTTATCTCTGGAGCTACTTCGTCAAGTCCCATTCGACATTTTTTCAAGTCCAAACCAAATCATACACTTGGAAATTACAAAATACAACAACAGTGTAAATGAGACCTAACCCAGATCTAATCCAGACCTAACCCAGACCTAACTCAGATCTAATCCAGACCTAACCCAGACCTAACTCAGATCTAATCCAGACCTAACCCAGACCTAACTCAGACCTAACCCATACCTAATTCAGTCCTAATCCAGACCTAACCCAGACCTAACTCAGATCTAATCCAGACCTAACCCAGACCTAACTCAGATCTAATCCAGACCTAACCCAGACCTAACTCAGATCTAATCCAGACCTAACCCAGATCTAACTCAGATCTAATACAGACCTAACCCAGACCTAACCCAGATCTAGGGTCTAAAAAAATTTATGTTTGTATATTGCAACAGTACGTAATTGCCAGCAGCAAGAAGATTCAATTGTTAATTCTTGTTTAGTCGTTACATCCCGCGTACCGAGTTTTAATTGCGTTTGCTTGGTTGCACCGGTAGACATCGTTCGCAAAAATATAAATCGTTCTTATGTTTGTTTTTCAGACGATGCAGATCTGTGGCGCAGGACCATACGATCAACACCTGATGCTGGGCGAACACGAGCTCACCGATCACAGTCAAAGTCTCGCGGCGCTTGGTATATTTCCCGGGGCACTTCTCACCTTGAAGGTAGGATTTAACTATTTTTTGTTATCTTTCACCTTGAACAGCAGGTCTCATCAATTAAATCATAGTCTGGTTGGATAGACCTAGCTAAAAATCTCTCCTGAAGTCACTGGGAGTATAAATCATTTTTTTCCTTGAAACTGGATAGGATTTCAGGGGTATGTGTATTCATAAAGAATGATTGTAATTGACCCCTGCAATTGAAAATAATTTTTTTCAGAATGATTTGAAATTTTTTGATTTCGTCGAAAAATTTCAGTAGCTACTCGAATTTTTTTCTCGAAAATGGATAGGATTTCGAGGGTATGTCTATTCACCAAAATTGATTGTAATCGACCGCTGTAACTAAATATAATTTTTTAAATATGATTTGAAATTTTTTAATTTCGTCGCGAAATTTCATAAATTCTCGAATTTTTTTCTCGAAACTGGATAGGATTTCGAGGGTATGTCAAATGACCAAAAATGCTTGCAAATGAGCTTTGTAACTAAATATAATTTTTTCAGAATGATTTGAAAATTTTTAATTTTGTCGAGAAATTTCATAAATTCTCGAATTTTTTTCTCGAAACTGGATAGGATTTCGCGGGTATGCCTAATGACCAAAAATGCTCGTAATCGACCGCTGTAACTAACTATATTTTTTTCAGAATGATTCAAAATTTTTTAAAAACTTCTTCTCGAAGGCTCCAGTCAAGGAATTGATATTCTCGATTTTGGCCATTAAAATTTTCCCTCAGGGGTGGTCGAACACCCCCTATGTCCACGTCACTGTAGCAAGTATTACCCCATAGCAGTTAGAATGTGCTCTCTAAACTGAACAGTAGACCTGGATGGATTCTACGGCAGTCGAGCAATTAGAATTCGCGCGGCTGGCGCAAAACGAAACCAGTCCGTGGAAGAAGAGGCTCGCGTCTCTCTCGGTTTTGTCTCCGGGGGTTTAACGGTTTTGACTCCGGGGCTAGGTCTCTCGCGCGGCTAGCTTGGTAGCTGCTTTCATAAAATCAGTCGACTGTGAACGGAGGAATGCGCAGGAATGCCGGAATTATTCCGGCGGTCTCTCGCGTCCCGAGTCAGGAACGGGGCAGAATTTTTCTTTCGGCCTGATCCCAGTCGGGCGACGTCGCCGACCAACGGCGACAGCTACTGACCTGGCAAAAACCGGCCACGTCCGCTGAATTTTTGGCCGAATCTTCGATCCTCGCGGGCCGCGCGAAACTGGCAGATATGCGGCCGGAGGAATCGCGAATGGCGATCGCATATGGCGTCCTCTCCCTCTCGGGGAGGATCGCTTTCCAGCAACAAAGGAACGCGCGGCGTCGTCGACGAGATTCGTGACGTGCAAGCCGATCGATCGATCGCTACGAAGATTGCTCGCGGGTGCTCCGTGGACTTTCGTCCTCGTGATAGACTCGGATTTATTAAAATTTTTTATCATTTTACGGGGCGTGGCACCAGCCGTACCAGAGCAGTGTAGAGTACTGCCATAAATGGGGCAGCTTAAATACTAAATTACATATTTAGTTGATAGAGGCTTCCTTGAAAAGTTATAGATACTTTTCCGGACACACGGTATATTTTCGGTATTGAATTTTTTTCTCGAGAATGGTTAGGATTTCGGGGGTATATGTATTCACCAAATATTATTGTAATTGGTCCTCATAATTGAATATAATTTTTTTAGAACAATCTGAAATTTTTTTGAAAATTTTTACACATATTCGAATTTTTTTCTCGAAAGTGTGTAGGATTTCGAGGGTATGCCTATTGACCAAAAATGATTGTAATTGATCCTAGAATTTAGCAATAATTTTTTTAGAACGATTCGAAATTTTTTTAATTTTGTCGAAAAATTTCATACATTCTCGAATTTTTTTCTCGAAGGTGTGTAGGAATTCGGAGGTATGTGTATTTACCAATAATGATTGTAATTGATCCTAGAATCTAGCAAAAATTTTTTTAGAACGATTTGAAATTTTTCAATTTTGTCGAAAAATTTCATACATTCTTGAATTTTTTTCTCGAAACTGAGTAGGAATTCGGGGGAATGCTTATTGACCAAAATTGATTGTAATTGATCCTAGAATCTAGCAATAATTTTTTTAGAACGATTCGAAATTTTTTTAATTTTGTCGAAAAATTTCATACATTCTCGAATTTTTTTCTCGAAAATGTGTAGGAATTCGGAGATATGCCTGTTGACCAAAATTGATTGTAATTGATCCTCGAATCTAGAAATAATTTTTTTAGAACGATTCGAAATTTTTCAATTTTGTTGAAAAATTTCATACATTCTCGAATTTTTTTCTCGAAAGTGTGTAGGAATTCGGAGATATGCCTGTTGACCAAAATTAATTGTAATTGATCCTCGAATCTAGAAATAATTTTTTTAGAACGATTCGAAATTTTGTTAATTTTTTTTAAATATTTCACATCTTCTCGAATTTTTTTCTCAAAAGTGTGTAGGAATTCGAGGGTATGCCTATTCACCAAAAATGATTGTAATTGACACCTGCAACCGAAAATAATTTTTTTAGGACGATTTAAATAATTCCTTTTTCACCGAAAAATTTCATCAGCAACTCTTGTCAATATTTCTTAGAAATTCGTTTTTCATTTTTAATAATTTTGTTTGCCATCCTACGGAAAAGATGTCTAATACTTTTTTATATATACCCACGAGCTCTACGGCTGAAAAAAGTTTCATTGAAATATGTTCACTATTGTAGGAGTTATGGCCGTTTGAAAATTGGACCATTTTTATGGGGTTTTTCTAATTTTACGGGGTCAGAGGACAACTTTTTCACTATTATTAGAATTCCTACATATTCTTCGCCACAATACGCGTTGTTTGCCCTTTGAAACATTAAAATCCTCCAATCCGTTCAGAAGTTATGACATTTTAAAGATTCGCATGAAATTTTCGGGCCATAAATTACATTTTCGATTAGGAATTTTTTTTCTCGAAAATGGGTAGGTTTTCGGGGGTATGTCTAATGACCAAAATTGATTGTAATTGACCCATGCGATGGAAAATAATTTTTTCAGAACGATTTGAAATTTTTCAATTTTCTCGAAAAATTTCATACATTCTCGAATTTTTTTCTCGAAAGTGTGTAGGAATTCGGGGGTATGCCTACTGACCAAAAATGATTGTAATTGATCCTAGAATCTAGCAATAATTTTTTTAGAATGGTTCGAAATTTTTTTTATATTCTTGAAAAATTTCACACCTATTTGAATTTTTTTCTCGAAACTGTGTAGGAATTCGGAGGTATGCCTATTGACCAAAATTGATTGTAATTGATCCTAGAATCTAGAAACAATTTTTTTAGAACAATTCAAAATTTTTATAATTTTCATGAAATATTCTCCATATTCTCGAATTTTTTTCTCGAAAGTGTGTAGGATTTCGGGGATATGTGTATTGACCAAAAATGTTTGTAATTTATCCTAGAATCTAGTAATAATTTTTTTAGAACGATTCGAAATATTTTAATTTTGTCGAAAAATTTCATACATTCTCGAATTTTTTTCTCGAAAGTGTGTAGGAATTCGAAGGTATGCCTAATGACCAAAAATGATTGTAATTGATCCTAAAATCTAGAAATAATTTTTTTAGAACGATTTGAAATTTTTCAATTTTGACGAAAAATTTCACATAATCTCGAATTTTTTTCTCGCAAATGGATAGGATTTCGAGGGTATGCCAAATGACAAAAAATGATTGGTATCGACCGTTGTAACTAAATATAATTTTTTTAGTATGATTTGAAATTTTTTAATTTTGTCGAAATATTTCATACATTCTCGAATTTTTTTCTCGAAAGTGTGTAGGAATTCGAAGGTATGCCTAATGACCAAAAATGATTGTAATTGATCCTAGAATCTAGAAATAATTTTTTTTGAACGATTTGAAATTTTTCAATTTTGTCGAAAAATTTCATACATTCTCGAATTTTTTTCTCAAAAGTGTGTAGGAATTCGTAGGTATGCCTATTGACCAAAAATGATTGTAATTGATCCTAGAATCTAGAAATAATTTTTTTAAACCGATTTCAAATTTGTTAATTTAACCCAAAAATTTGAGCGAAATAAATTTGAATAGAGTTTGAATTTGTTGAATTTGTTAGAAACAAATTTTAAGTTACGTTGCTTACAATGGTCGAAAATCGAAATTTCACTTGTTCAATGTGTTAAAAAAAAAATTCTCGTCTCACAATTATTGCTTAAACTAAAGCCAATCTGTAGAATTTCTTTTTTGAGAAGAGAATATTGTTAAAAATGGCTGAAAACTCTCCGTGGAGGCGATGTAAAAATTCTAGAGCATTCCGTAGCATCGAAGGGATTGTTACAGGACAATTCGTTAGGCGTGGAAGATCTCTGGAGGCTGAATCTCGGGCTCAGAGAGCTAATCTTCCCGTAGTAAGAGGCCAATTAACACTTCTAATCTCGAGAGGCGACGTTTTCGGTTAATCCTAAGACAAAATCGGCGGTCTTGCCGTTATCTTGGACCATTGCCGACGTTACTTATCCATTGTCTCGGGCTTTAGGGAAACGGTGGCTTAGATCTTAAATCTAAATTGCATCTGTTTGTCACTGTCCGCTCTCTTTTGCGCGACAAACGTATCGTTCTGACAACAATTAACACGCCACCTGGGACTATCAAGAAACCACCTATATTTTCGACCAAGTTGAAAGAACTCTTCCTTAGAAAAATTTAACAACTTTATCGAGAATTTATCGAGTTAATTTCTGGAATATTGAAGCATCAAATGAGTTGTTTATTTTTAAAGTGTCGAAAGTCAATTTTCAAAATAGAGTTAGCTACTTTAATAGTTGCATTTTAACATGATCTTTTCATTTTTAAGCAATTTGTTACCAATATATATTTAAAATAATATTTAATGTAACACGAAAATTTCCTGATTAATGAAGCGATGAATTTCAAATGGATATGGAAAATATTATGCAATAAAATTCTATGAGATCTCAGCCATTTT